CCCCTCTAATCAGATCAGATCCATCCAATAACCTTCCAACATCTTATCACCTTTTGTTTATATTTCTTCTAACCCAAACACCATCCCCATGAATACGATGAATCAATATGCACATTCACAGGCCCATGATGGCACATCTTACAAACTAAATTAAAGAATATTTTTCATATGAAATAAACCAAATAATTACTTTAGGATCAAGTTCATCCCTCCCTCCCCACTATCTCAGGTTTCAGGCTCCTCCACCGTATACATAAAGGAAGGAGAAGGAAAGTGCACTGATACCAAGATTACTAAGAGGATGCTAGGATACAAAAATTCTCAAAAGAATCCTAACATTTTTAACTCAACCACTTTTTTTAACTCAATTTTAATTCAACCTCACTATCATCAATATTATTAATATAATTAAATAATATCGATCAATCATTCTTACACCACATCAACTTTAATTCACTATTCATTCACTCACATAATTTTAACAGTTCATCACTTCGCATCATCTCCCTCCTACTTTTACATCAAATCAACTCTAATTATTTTATTTTAAGTATTATTTCAATATACCCACTAACAACTAACCATACCACTTTTTTCCAAAATTAATCAAACCAAACCAAAAAATCCAAAAAAAAACTACAGATTCTTATATCCAAGCATAGCCTCAAACACTCACCTCAAAATATGGGTGAAACCTATTGCTCCCTAAAATCTCCGGTGAGGTCTCGAGGGACGGCGAGCGGAGGAACTCTCGTGACAGGGACTTGACTGCCTTCAAAACATTGTTAAAATGGCGGCTTATTGTCTCCCCCGAATGCTGGAACCGTTCCTGAATCACCCGTGTACGCTCATTTCGGCCGATAACATTCAAGAATATGGCGAGCTGCTCCTCTATCATGACACCAGCTGTGTCACGCAGCATGCCCCTATGCCTGAGTGTGTTGCTAAGCTTTAGGAACACGTGGCAGTCCATTCGGAACATCTCGCGGCACAAATCGTCATTACCATGGAGGACCTCGTTCATGAAGCCTGACCCCTTTGAGGAAAGGCCACGGGCAGGCTGCCTCGTGATGCTCGTGTAGTAGTGGTAGCCAGCAGCAGCTGCCACTAGCTCCAATTCGTCGAGTTCGAGGTCAAAGTCTTCCATGGTGATTTACGTATCTGTTCAAAAGAAATATTATAGCATTTGAAACTTGCACGGAGATTGGTGTAAAGTAGGAAACTCCCGTGTATAAAAGCATAAAAGCAGGGAGTTCCCTTACTGTTATGTATTGAGGAATATTTAGATGTATTGAGCCAGTTTTCCATCACTTGGAATAAAATTTCGGTCAAAATACAATAGAAGCAGAATATCTATAGTAAGAATGAAACAGAAGGATCAAGCATGTATGGTGGAGCAAAAGTTATGTTCCGCCATAAAATGATTATCTAATTAGCCGTGGATGGAGACCGCCCAAAAAAACTGAGCTACCATAATTTTAAGAAGTAGATTTGTACTTGGCCTACTTAATCACAGGCAATTATATAGTGAAGATATGAAAACTTAACTTTAGTAGATAATAACACTTCTCACGCAAGGTTAATCTCATCGCATAAGTCTACTGCAAGTCTATTAATTAGATTTAATAAAGTTCACTTAAACGATTATCAAACCAAAGAGAAACAGGTAAATTCAGATGCCACAGCAATCCTAAAAACTATTTTAGTAAACATATCTTAGGAAAAAGGAGTGAAAAGGCAAGGTCAAAAGCATTTAAGGGTAAACTTCTGAATAGAGATTAATAATAAAAGAGTCAAAGAACACAAATAATGCTATGTAAGTATCTAAAGCAGAGAAAACTTACGGCCACCTAAAAAGGCTATTGTTTTGAATAACAAACGCATTTCTTATCTTCTAGAAGAAGGTCGTATAACATTAAGTGTGTAATAAAAAAGGAGGGATCAGCTAATTATACAATCCCTAATCTCTACAACAACAACAACAACAACAACATATCCAGTAGGTTGGGGTCTAGGGGGGTCAATTGTACGCAGACCTTACCCTTGTAATTATACAAGGAGGCTGTTTCCGTAGCGACCCAAGGTGCATTGCGCCGTTTGATATATTTTTTTTTTCTAATCTCTATGCTCCAGAAATGGTTCTTGACTTGTGTGCGGATATTGAATAAAATATATTTGGTGTCTGATTACTTTCCTTATTTGCACGATTACTTGCTTACTTTTGTGATTGCCGTTCTTATTTCTGGAGTACACTACCCAGCGATTTGGGTTCATGCAGTGTCAGGTGCAATTCACCAAAAACAGAAGAAATGAACTTATCCTGCATTGCTCCACCGGAACCATTCTTCTGGAGCACAAAAATGAATTCCATTAATTAGAATAAACATATAATTGAAAACCATTCAAATCTGAAACATGAATTTCTAGAACAAGCGAGATCTTATTGCTCCACATTGCCGAAAAATGACGGAGGCCCAGAAAATCCACTTGAATCGATAAAACAAATGCATCATTCTTTGAGTACCCATTCAGAAATGAAACCAACCAAATATCTCAATGATAAATCAGAGAATCAGTGATTGCATTCATATTTAACTGCATATATGGTGTCATTTCAAACTTGTAAGATTCTTAGAAGGACCCAGTAAAAGTTTTAAGAAAAGAAATAACAAAAATCGATATCATTTAAACACTATGAAATTCAATAATATATCATGGCCCACGTGAACCCTTGAAACTCTGCTATGATCATCACCCAACAAAGAAAGCAAAAATAATGGTCAAATAAAAGGCTGCGCCATGATATAACAAATACTAGCATGTAATTCACTAAATTGCGCCCGGCAGACAGAGAGGAAACATAAAAAATTACAAGAAATACCTTAAAGTTTATGGTCATATTTCTTCCATCAGATATTCGACGGGCATTGCAGCAGGGCAGAACTTCGTTTCAAGGGTTTGACGAGTGATGACAGAAGACCTCTTCAGTTCTATATCGGCTCTACTCGGCCCCACTACTAATTTTTCGATGTCGTATATAATAAGTAGGAAAAATAAAATTACTTCGTTATTTTGTAATAGGGTTAACAATTAAAATAAAATAATATTTTTATTTTATTTTGTCTTATAAAAACTAATAATAAATTTAGTACATTAATTATTACAAAAATAAAATGAATCTCAAATGCAAAGAAAAATGTATATTATAGGTTTATAAATATTTTATCGAAAAAAAAAACTAATGTATATTATAAATGCATCAGTTTTCCTCTCTCATTTTTTTTTTTTTAATTGATGAGTAGCGGTGTGGTTTTCATTCACTTTGTTTTTGTTTTTATATTCGCAAATTTTTTTAAAGCCACCAATTATCTCGTGATATTCAATTTCAATCACTACTGTTTTCATCTTTTTTTTTCTTGGAACGATAGAATTCATAGATAAAAATACATATGTACATATTAGAAAACAGCAAATCAGCCAGCCAGCTGAATCTAGTTGGGAGAACTACAAGAAGTGTAGCCTATAACCAACCAAACCACTAACAAAACACAAAAATTACAAACGCTCCCACGAGTGAAGAATGATAAGCTCCCACTCGGGAGAAAGAAAAGCTCACAAACGGGAGAAGAAGAGAACCAACTAAACAAAACACGAATCTAAAATATACAGACAAAACATAAACAGCCTAATACTAAATTTAAACTAACGTCCTCCCCACCAGGCACGAACTCTCAGCCCCAATACAACCAAAGCAAAACATCCAAACACGAAAACCGAGAAAAAGGCCACGAGGATTACAGCCCAGCCCAGCCCAACCAAGACCCAGACTGCAAAACCGAAAACTACTCCCAGATATTTTTTATCTTGTTGAATGATCATTTTTATTCTATTTTTGTGTCTCATCTTTATTTGATTGTAAGTCACTTGGGTGGGGTGAAGAATTTGATGTGTTTACTTTCATTACCTTATCATGTGCAGTTTGTAACCTAACAAGGCTTGATGTAATATTTCTTCTTGAGCTCATTTAGGGACATCATCAACCCGGTAAACCGAGTCACGGTGACCGTAAACAATTTCTACGACACATCATGTAATCATAACTATTTACAAAAACCGAGTCTATTGACTTTTGAATAAATTTCGCCCTTGATAAATCAAATAAATAATAATTGAATACATATGTTCATTTATTGTCTTATGAGGGGACAAAGGACCACATCATGGGGCCAAATTTACTTATATTAACATAGCAAGATAAAAATGGAATAAGATTTACATATCGTAATTGGGACATTCTTTTCAAGATGGAACAAACTAGTCCACATTTTTTCCACAACTTTCAAACCATGACCGACTATAGCGCATAAAGCTTCGAGGTAGAAGAACATTTGCCTCCTAAATATTATTTAAATCAAAATTTATGTGAAATAGTGAAAAGGTGGACAAAATTTTGGCATGAAAATGTCAGATTAGAGTTAAAAAAATTATTTTAGTGTCAATTTAATCAAATTTTATCTTTTATATTCAAACAGGGACATGAAAAACAGGAATTTACCCTCATAAAGTTTGACATGTGTTGCATATGTGCACCCTCCATTGCAAAAATTGATCAAAATAGTGTATTGAGAGATAACTCCAGTTTCAATTACTATGAAATGCAAAGTGTTAAACGAGAAGTTCGCAAGCAAGCTAAAAAATCAGGGACTGTTTTTGGCGTGGGAGATGGGATATTGGAAAGTTGTTGCCGAGGTTGATAGCCTCTGCGTGAAAAAAATGGTTTGCGACTCCGAACCCGAGTTGGGGCCCCATGATGCACTGGTTAACGCTATCCGGGATTTGCTTCACAGGGATTGGAGTGTTATTATCCAACACATATATAGGGAAGCAAACTTTGCGGCCGATCATATGGCGGGATCATACCCGATTGGCTTACATCGTCTGGTCTCCCCACCTGAGGGATTAGGTGTTTGGATCACTGTTCTAAAAATCGGCCTAGGCGGCCGCCTAGGCGCTAGGCGATGCCCGGGCGCCTCCGATTTGTACAAATCGGTAAAAAAAATCGACCAGGCGGCTAGGCGGCGCCTAGGCGGCCCTAGGCGCTCCTAGGCGGTCTTGGCGGGCTCGGCGGCCAGGCGGTTAGGCGGCGTCTAGGCGGGCGTAGGCGGACTTAGGCGCTCCTAGGCGGGCTCGGCGGTTTTCAAATTTTTTTTAATTTTTTTTTTATTTTTTTAAATACTAATTACATTATTTTGTTCTCATGTTTTCTTTAATATATATTAATATTATTATTTGGACTTTGGTGTGTGAATTTATTATATGTTGAGATAATTTTATTTTGTAGGTAGTTAAAATAAATAAAAAAATAAGATATTTACTATTGATTTCTGGGCCCCGACTAGGCGCCGCCTAGGTCCCGACTAGGCGCTCTTGGCGCTAGGCACTGGTCGAGCGCCTAGCGGGCGCCTAGTGACTTTTAGAACTCTGATTTGGATTGATCATGATAATATCGAGGTGTCGTATCCCGTCGAGTATTAGTTTAGGCCTTTTGACCTCCTTCTTTGCACCAAAAAATAAATAAATAAATAAATAAAAATCAGCCATATTCTTTTGTGAGGAAATTAAAAATTCCCCCCATTTTAAATGTTGTCATATACTGGTAATTAAAGAAAAAAAATAAAATATTATAATGGTTTAACTTTTCAACACTGAGCAGTAGTTGATCGCCCATTTATCTCGCACAGTGTCTAGGTAAACGCGGACGCTCCCAACCGGCGCCGGACGTCCATTTTCCGTTGAATAATCGGATTCATCGTTACCAGCTGCAGCATCTCAGCGGCTGTGTTCGCGCTCTCCCAATCGGCGCAATCAATCTTGATCAGAAATTCGAATTTTGGGTTCTGGCGAGGGCAATGGCTGCTCTGGTTTACCAGATTTTCTCTTCGTCGGCGCTGCTGTCACAGGGTCTGTACCACCTAATCTGCACCACCAGGAACCACCTAAAATCCCCCCGCGACTACGCCGCCAAACCCTACCAACCCCTCCCCTCCGCCGGCGGCCACCACCAACACGGCAGATTCCTCCGCCACCTCCAGCTTTACCTTATCATCCTCTGCCTGCTCGTCGCCCTCATCCACCAGCTCCTCGTAT